GTTGAATAGAATAGGAGTGATATGTGCAGACCGTTTAGTGTAAGTTAGCATTCTCGCTGCAGAATTTTGAATAGATTGCAATCGAGAGATGGAGCGTACTGGTAATTCGGAAAAAAGAGCGTTGCAGTAATCAAGGCGAGATGTGATTAAAGCATTTACTAGTAATTCAGCATCTTTTGGACTGATGAAGGAACGGAGTTTGGCAATACGGCGAAGTTGAAAAAATGCAGCTTTGGAGAGCTTACTAATATAAGCATCTAGATTTAAAGCAGAGTCAAGAATGATACCTAAGTTTTTAACTGTGGCAGATGGGATAATTGATGTGGCTTCGAGGCCAAATCTAGGGGCATTTGATATGTTTTTTGTTACAGTTGGGGGCCCGACAAGTAAGATATCTGTTTTAGTCAAATTCAAACTGAGAGAGTTGGAGCTAAGCCAGGTCTTTAACTCATTGACACATGACAATAGAGATGCAGTCTGGTGGAGAGAGTCAGGTCGGCAGGAAGTGTATATCTGAATATCATCGGCATAGCAGTGGTACTGTAGACCGTGGCGGCGAATAATTTGTCCGAGGGGCATAATATAAACAATAAATAATAATGGCCCTAGGACTGAGCCCTGTGGCACACCCTGTTTAAGAGGGACAGAGGGAGATTTATAGTTATGTATGGTGATGTAATATTGTCTGTCCGTCAGATATGAGGAAAACCAGGATAACGCCATTCCTGAGATGCCAATCTCTGAGAGGCGCATGAGTAATAGTTTATGAGAGACCGTATCAAAAGCTGAGCTGAGATCGAGTAGTAGAAGTATAGAAAGATTGCCCGAATCACCAGAAAGGAGTAGGTCGTTTATAACCCTTACTAGAGCAGTTTCAGTACTGTGTTGTGAACGAAAACCTGACTGAAACATATCAAAGTTTCAGAGATTCATAAAAAGATCAGAGTTCATTGTGAGCTAGAAATGACTGTAATTGAGCGGCAACAACCTAACCTACCAAATAATAAATTGCAGATGATGTGTTTCTAGAATGAACACATTGGTATTTATATGTGGTATTTATAATATATGTACTGTAGGTGCCTTATACATCAGCTGATCTGATGTTCGATACTATAATTAAGAAGAAGTATAGAGAACTATAATTAAAGATGAACATAGCTCACTCCCACTTTCAATAAGCAGTAATTCCAAGATCAAAATACTGTGTAGAAATTCTGCAGTATACTGTAGGCTGACTTCAGATATAAAAACAGAGATTGGATGGGTAATGTTTACTCACTGAAATCAGAAGAAGTCCTCTCAAGAATGTGTGGAAATATAAACATGGCAATGCAGTTGTGTCAATGTTATGATGTCACTGGCAACTGAGTTATTTATTGTAGATTAGTAGTTCCACTTTAAGGAATTTTTGTTGATTATTCAGTAAAAGAATTTGACAAAATTTCGGAAAACAAGCCAATAGTGCACTTGCACTCATATGGCTCCATGATTGTTATGTTCCTTTGCATTGTAAAGAGTGCTGTGGCATTATTGGCCTGTTTGCCACATTGCTAGCCCTTAACGTTTAGAGGTAAAGTGATATAACGGCAATAAAAATTACATTTATATAAAATAAAAATATGTGTGTAAATATATCAAGGAATAATCAAATTACTTTATTCTAGCGTAGATCATTTCTAAAATGATTTTACTTTTATATTTTCATTTATTTTGTTAATTAATTTTCATGTTCAAAAGATAACAAGTACTTATCTATAGATAAGTTTTTTTGTGTGTGTTTTTCAGTGGAGTTACAGTTTGTGGAAATAAAGGTGTTTACCCTCCATTTCCTCTTTGGCCTTTTCAAGCTTCTCTTTGTAAATTCGTTCCAATCTCTTCTGTTTCTCCTCTTGTCTTTTTCTCTCAGCCAGTGTTCTTGCTTCAACATCATGAAAATCTACCTAAAAAAAGACACAATGCATTTCTTGAAGGGATAGTTTACAAAAAAATTAATAATCTGTTTGTGGGTAACCAAACAGTTTCAGGTCCCCATTGACTTGCATTGACTATTTTTTTTCATACTATGGAGGTCAATAGAGACCAGCAACTATTTGGTTACCCTTAATTCTTCAAAATATAATCTTTTTGTGTTCAGTAGATAAAGAAATGTATGCAGGTTTGGAACAACATGAGGGTGAGTAAAAGATGAAAAATCTTTGAATGAACTATCCCTTTAGGGAGACATTTCACTATTATAATGATGAATTATAATAACATAAATAAAGCCACCCATAACATCAAGTGGATGAAAATCAAATGTAAATAATAAACTATTTGAACATAATATTGGAAAATACAATGAAACACAATTACTAAATAGTAAAAGCTTTTTATAAACTGCTTGGTTCATTCACCTTTGATTAAACAGCTAAATTTAGGTAGAACACAATATATTTTCCATAACAGTCTTTATATAATTACATAACAACAGTGACGTGTCCCAGGGTGCAGACTGATGGCATTAAATACCATAATCACAGAACAGGCATGTCCAGATAAATACCTTTTTAATCTGCTTTAGAAAGTGATATCCCAGAGACAGTTTCTTATACGCCTCTCCATACGTGGCGTGCCATGACTGCACAGTCTGAATGGCAAGTGTCCTTAGTTTTCTCGCCACCTCTTTGGGTGGAGGCAGCAGCTGCTCAGTGTCTGTTTCTACTGTAAGTTCCAGGAACTCCTGAAAGTTTGTGATGAGAAGATCTCTGAAGTGATGCGACCGGCTGAAAATCTCACTGACCATTTGGAAGGCAGAGAGACGGATCTCTCCGTGCTCTTGGTTCAGCTGGGTCATAATCAAGTGGTAGAAATGATCAACGTAGTCAGTGGAAACTCTATGGTCAGAAAAGGAAGAAGAGTTCCAGCTTAACAAGGAGTGTAAGGTCATATGTCCAGTGCTGCTCTAAGGCCACAAAAACAAACACAGGTACATGAGCAATTTATGCTGACTTGGCAAATCACGAAATGGACTTTGATTAGGCTTTATAACTGACAACACTGATAAATAAACACTGGGTAAGGCCAGTTTCCTCATTCTGTGATTAGATAATGAGATCATAAGCACGCTTTGGGCAGAGGAGGCAAGAGCTTTGGTGACCAATGATATTTAACTAACCAGTGTTCTATGAAACACTGCACTGTGATAATGCCATAGCTGTCTGAAATCGGTGACTGTGATTTCACCAAGTACAACATGTTCCTGGATCAACATCCTTGTTGATCCTGGAACATAATTTTAATCAACCAATCAGAATTGAGGGATAACTTTTCGGGAAATGTCAGTTTTAGGTTTACAATCAGGATTAGGTGCTTCTTCCTCGGATTTTAGTAAAATATTATGGGTAAGGTTAGGTTTAGGGGTAGGGATTGGGTAAAGTCTGTATTTTTGGACAGTAATGTTGATCCAGGATCAACAAAAGATGTTGATCCAGGAACATGCCTTACTTGGCAAAATCACGGCGACCATCTGAAATCAAAATTTACGGAATCACTTTTTTTTTGCCTCACCATCTGCCAGCAAAAACAAAAGATTGTTACTGGCTCAAGTTCTTGCTAAGTTCACGTTAAGGTAAAGTTCAATGGGCTCTAGGGTAAAGGCCTTTTACTAATGCAGTGGCCGCAATGGGGCAAAAACACTCACTAAGCAAATAAAGATGTCCTTGAAGTGTGTTGTCCTGTTTCTATGAAATCTTTGCCAGAATGTCCTAATTTATTCACATGACTCACAGTTTGGTCCATGTATTTTTTAACCTACTAAACATACTTGCATATTTTCTTCACTTCCTTCATTTTGTCTTGATTTAACTGTGGTTCTCCAGAGGTAGTCAACTCCTCAACCAGTTGTGAGAGCTTATCACGCATTGTTTGGTCCATCTTTGACATAACCCTATAACAGAATGAAGAAAGAATGAAAGTATGAAGGAATGGGCCAACGCAACCACCACTGAGAAACAGTTACTCCTATATGCCTTTACTCACAATTGTTTTTGTTATGCAGCTGCTATTCAACACAGATACACAGACAGATTCATAAAGTCTACCAGTGACAGAGAGAGAGCGAACCAACTGTATCCGAAATCTTTAATGGCTATAATGGATGACACGTACCTCTTCCTCCACCTGCTGTAATGAAACTGGCTTTAATAACTACTGGTATTAGATCAAATGTATGTGTCCGTCTGGAAATGAAGTTCGCTCATCTCAGTATTTTAGTGCGATTGAGCAGGGAATGTAAACAAAGACATACTGAGCAACCGTGAAGAGTCCATTTTCAAAATAAGAGTCGCTCTCTTCTGTACATTTTCACTGAAAACGGACTGAACTACAACTGAAACGTAGTCGTTAATATAATTTAATACGAATTATTTTAAGTGTAAGGCTGTACACCTGTGCCGCGCGCGTATTGAGAATCTACGGCAAAATATTTTCTCATGATTATTAATTAGACGGTGCTGACGTTGCTTAGTGAGCGTTGTTACGTACAATATCAATATTCATTAGTCAAGACTTCTTCCTTTATTCTTATTTGACAAGCTGACAACCGCCCACTTACACTCGTCTGCTTGTCAGCCAATCAGCGAGGCATATTGACCGAGCGTCGGGCAGCTTGATGAATATTTAAAGCATGACTTCGGCTTTGTAGAATTCGAGTGACGCACTTTGTATATTTGTAACCGCTCTGTGGGTGGGAGCAAAAGTGCAATAAAAGGACTAACCTGAGAGTGATTGATTACAGTCAACACATCGCTGTATACAATTGGTTATCTACCATTTGAATCATGCTGGCACGGGTTGTTCTGGTGCTCTGTTTGGCAGGTGAGTCTGTAACTGATTTTGGCAGTAAAGAACATCAAAGTCTGATGTTTTTGGGGGAAAAAAGACGTTATTTTTGAAATCCTTAATTTAAAGTCCAAGCAACAAAAATTACATAGCAGGCACTTTATATAACGTGGTGAGTTATTTATCTCTTTCTCTCTCTGACTGTGTGTGTTTCACGTTTATATGATTCTAAACAGCTTTGGCAAGAGGAGCTGTTATCCCTGGTGGCTCTAAAGAGGTGCGTTGAAGATTAAAACCTATTTATGGTGCTTTATTTAACCACTACATGTATCTAATGTAGTCTGTGTGCTTTTGTTGGCAGCCAAACTGCTCTGAGTACTTCTTGCCCGTCTGTACCCGGGAATATAACCCTGTGTGTGGTACTGATGGAGTCACATACTCCAACGAATGCATGCTGTGTTTGTTAAATATGTAAGTTAAATCAAGTTTGTAATTTTTATCTACCATTTTAATGTTCATACTGTTCTTACTGGTGTCCTTTTGAAAAATTGTTTGACTGTCTTGTCATAGGGAGGAGAAAGTCAACATATTAATCTCCAAGAAGGGCAAATGCTGAGACAAATCCACTCATTTATGTTCTGTATATGTGACATGAACCTGGAACCACATGCTGTTTTTTACTGGTTTTTGTCTTAAGATAAAGTGTGTGTTGTGTGCCCTTTTAAAAACATTCTAATCCTTTAATAAAACCTTGATATAGAAGTCACTGCTTTGTACTGTACTTTCTTTAATATAAATGGGCGCTATTCATCACAACTCATGTAGCTCCTGTGTATAAGCTTTATGAGCTATATTTATAATAACACTAAGGAAACAATCAAAAGAAAACTGTCTAGCTAGGGCAGTGAGACATTATCAGGTTGATATGAACATTGTGCATGGTTAACGTCTACTTTTGGAAAAATGTGGTGTTAATGAGTATGGGGTTATTGATCGGTGTTCGAACTGAATGAACTTCGGTCCTGGGGCAGAAGTGTCCTTTTTTGGCAACAGAATTCTGATATATTCTAGCTATGTCAATATTCAGTGTAGCAATGAAGTTCAGTCTAGTAATAAAAAAAAAGTTTAAGACCGCTCATAGATGGGATAAATGCATTTATACAGCAATTGCAACTATATATTTTGGGGCTGAGGTGGGTCACAGCAGGCATAATTTAATATGCCTTTTATGCAGCATTTACACTGTTTTAAACAAGAGCAGCTGTGTAAAGACACCTTAATATATCCAAATTACATTTACTTTCATAATAAACATTGCAATAGATATTTATCACTTGGTTTAGAACTTTCTAATATGACAATTTATATTAATATTTCTATACATTAATGTATTATATACAATGTATATTACACAAATGTATGGTAATTTATATTGATTTACACAAATATCTGATCAAACCTGGGGTGTATTTCAGAAAGCAAGGTTAACTTGCCGTCACATATACCCTAAACTCTCGGTTGATTAACCCAAACATTGCTTACTTCAGGTATGCTAAAGACAATAGAAAAAAAGGGACTTTGGGTATGCTGGTTCCAAAAACTCGTCCGGGAGTAAGTTCAGTCAACTCAGAGAATGTTCACGGTTAACACGTACTCAACAGAGCGACGAATCGACGAGTCACCATGGAAACCAATGCTAAGAAAAAATGTGCCATGCTGCTTCTTCCTTCTTTTGTTCAATGGTCATTTGCATACTTACTGCATATCACCACCTAATTGATGGTTGTGCAATCATTTTTCACATTTTTTTTCATTTAATCTTTTAATCACTGAGAATAAGAATTATATTGTTTGTTTGTTGCTAATTATATAATAAGAAATATCACATGTATTTTTATTATAGAAATTCTAGAAAATGCAGATCCACGATGAGTGAGATGACAATAAAAATATAATAAATATATATTAAGAATAAAATAAACATGATCTTGTTATAACAATGTTTTAGTGTATATAGCGATTAATATATATAGATATAAGTATTTTTGATATTGTAATCATATATATAATATTATAAGGTCACGCATGCGCTGATAGCTCTGAACTTCAGAGCTGCTCATAACCTCAACAAACGTGGAGGTTATGTCTTCATTACACAAATGTGGTAATTTCTTATGATGTGTGGTTTCAAGCGATGTTTGTGTTCATGAGTAAGAGATATGAGGGAATGTATGGGATGATATTAGGCTCAAAATGATTAATAGATGCACGCACAATTATTTATTTATTTATTTATTTAATGTTTTATTTGTTAGGGACAGATACAATAAACATAGATGAAAATGTAAAAAACAATCATCCCATGCATGTACCATAGTGCTTGTAGCCGAAGCTAATTTGCAACACTTGTCCCTAGGAGGGCTTTTATAAATTACAATTACAATAAACAAGTAATGCACAAATTTATAATATAAATACACTAAACATGACTACAGGTTTGTTGATGTATCAACCAAGATTTCGCGGCCTTCTTAAAAAAATTAAAATTTACAGTAGATTTTAAATAGTCCGGCAATGAATTCCAAAATTTTACACCTTTCACTGAGAGAACAGTCTGAGCAAATGATGTTTTACAATGTATAACTTTACAGTTTCCACTATTTCTTTCTGTAATTCAACGGCACTTTGTCAGTTATTCCTTCCTTGTAGGCTATTATTATTATTATTATTATTTGATTGTTTTGCTTCATAAGACCTCAATGTATCGCCAGGAGACACAGGTATTAATTTTGTTTTGCCTGTTTGTTTTTTTGTTGTTTTTTTTTACTCCAAGTGATGGTAGGCTTTAACTTGCATTAAATGAATCACCAAGGACCACAGTTACAGCTAATAATCTTTTAAGGTTCTACTGAAGAAAAACTCAGCTACACCTTGGATGGCCTGAGGATGTGTAAATTAACAGCAGATTTTCATTTTTGCGTGAACTGTTTCTAATGGAACATCATAAGTTTCTGTCCCTACATTAAAAGTCCATGTTACCAAAATTTAAATAATCATTGTGAAGACAGAACTCCAGCAGTCGTAACAAATTGCTTAACATTTTTGATGGCTATGTAATGAGAAATTTCATGATTGTGCTCTTATGTTGTTAGGACTCTGATGACATTGGTATCCTCCTTATTGAGCATGAAGGTGATATGCATCTTCTCTTCATCTCAATCCAGCCTCATTGAAGATCATCATTGAAGGAGAAGTTGTGATGGACAATATTGACGACTTGCCAAAAGCTATGTGCATTCTGTATTGGCTGAGCTGCTCTACATTTATTGATTAATTTATTTGCCGTATAAGACATTAAAGTGTGTTCTGTCACTGCATATTAGTGCTGTTAGTGCTCAGTTAATGTGTGTTCACACAATTCTTCAGCCAAGTTTAAAGTTACAGAGGCTTGCCTCCGGTTTAATGCATGCCCAGTTTTTAATGCATATCCAGGCATTCACAAGGGATATAGGATATATGGTTGAATACTGTGTTCTAGGGGTTGCACCGACTAATGGACTAGTCGACCTCAATGCTCGCTGCTGCACTGTAACGCACACACATAGGCTTCAGACAGTAGCGCCTACAGTTCATCTCGCGCAGATCACGAGCACAGAATCATTCAGCGCGGAAATGTATTGTCAACACAGGGTGTCTTAAATAACGTTTTCCTAATATAAGGCCTTAAAAAGTCTTAAAATGTCTTCAATTCGGATTCGATGGGTCTTAATTATTTTTGGTCTCATTACCGCTAAAATATCTTCAGTCTGACGGACATAATGACTTTACAATCATTGGACAGACCGAAGATTTTTTCTTCCCCGCGGTAAATTACTGCGTCATCAGAGAGAATTGCAATAAGTTAGCAGAATACAGAATACAAGCTCGTGCTGCTGAGGCTCACTCTGTTTGTCTCGAGACCTCAGAACAAATGAGCGTGACCGCACACATAAACTCAGAAGAAACACACTGAGGTAAAAATTCTAAATGTTTAGTTCATTCATAACATGATATAGTTAAATAACA